AAAATGATGGTTAGGAAGGAGAATAAAGCGTTTTTTTTTTCATTTATATAGTTTTTTAATGTATTTTTTGTTGGTAAACAAACGTCCTGAAGTGTTTGAATTTGGTAGGCTTTATTTGTACGTATTTTTTTGCCTATGTATATGTATGCAGAATTGAGAAGAAAATAAGCTGAATAAGAAAAAGATGGTTTTTTCTGTCTCTTATTTAGTTAAGTCTTTTTTTTTTTGAACAGAACTTGTTGTTTTTTTTTCATTGCTGTTCACTTTTTGCAAACAGTGCTGCTAAATATGTTACTATAGTGAGGCTACAGTGTCGTTTACGATAGTTTTTCAAATTTTTGATGGGGTATAGGGTGTGCGAAGAAAGAAGGTGGGAGACAGCAATGGCAGTAGTAATGACAGAAGAAGCGGTTAAGGGAAGAAGGTATGAGTAGCTGTAATAGTATAAACGCGGGATGAAGTGAAGATTAAACATTTCTCTTCACCTTTTCTTTTCACTATGATTTTAGCTGTAAACGAACTGTGTTAACCTGAAATCAGCGGTGGTTGATGGGAATTTTTTGTGGGATTATTCGGTGTCAATTTGTGCTTCTTCCTTTCTGTTATTCTTACCTAATGTTAGCAGCAAATTTTTGTTCTATTCAAATGAACTATTGTTTAGCCGTATTTAAACAGGTGTTCGCTTTACTGTTGATGGCGTATAAAGATATGTTTAACATTTACCTTTTTGTGGATACAATAAGCAGAAGAAAAAAAAATAAATTAAGGGCTGAGAGAAAGAGAAAAATTTTTTGTTTAATGGCTTAACCTCTTTTATAGGAAATAATAGAAGGAATTGGCTTTTTAATCGTTGGTTAAAAAAATGAAAAATATTTTTTCTCGAATTTTTTTGAGAGAGGTCTTTGTATTGGTTTTAACCTGTACTGCTTTCTTTTTGTCGTGTAGGATATGTGTATATCGCTATATTGAGCAAAAAGATTGTTTAAGTTTTTTTGCATTCTCTGTTTGATTTGTTTTCTGCTTACTCATTACTTATACTTCTTCAGTTTAGTGACAAACTTTGTAGGTTAATTTACAATTTTTATGTATATAAGAGTTTTGTTAAATGCTTTTGAAGAATTGTAGTTAAAATGCTGAAATTATTACGCTTGATGATTGTAGTGAAGAAAATTGTTGACAAAAATTGGGCAAAGCATTTGTTATTTTTATGGTTGGCTGCGTGATTTAAAAAAAGAAAAAAATTTATATGTTAGATTGATGTGCTGTATAGTGCAGCATTTTTTGTTTTAAGTTGAGCCGAAAACAACATCATAAAATTTGATACTGTTTAGTTAGAATAATCGATAGAGTAATCATCCGGGCCGTCAATAAATAATAAGACGCCTTGTGTTGTTCATCGGTTACTCGGAGCGAAACGGAGCTTGAACAAATATATATATGAATTAGTGACTGATGAGAATTGTCTACAGTTTTTAATTTTTTGGAATTTATGCTTCTTCGGTAGCGGAACACGTTTAGAAATGAAGGAGAAAAATAGTTGAGGGACACGGAAAACAATTAAACAATTTGAGGAAGAGTAGATTGATACGAGTAAAATTGGGATCAAAAAAGTCTAAAAATTATGTGTTTGATTTGAATTTAAGATTGCAAAAAATCTTTCCTGCATTTTTTTTTGTTTCAATGAAAATTTGGAAAAATTACTTTTTTTTAATTATTTCAAATTTTGGCAATAGAGCAACAGAAATAGCAAAAAATAGCGAGAAAGTAGTCAAAAGCTTTTTGGGAGTGTTTGTTGTATATTAATGCAGTTTGAGGTTTGCTTCAATTCTACAGCATCTTTTTTAATTATATATAAATACTTATTTCTGTATAATATATTATTTATGCATTTATTTACTATTTATTTATCTATTTGTTTAATATTTGTATATGTATTTTATTTCGACTATTGTTTTTTAAAATCATTTTTAATTTGCACCGTTTTTGTTAGGTGTAAAACTTGTCTTTTGAGGCTTAGTAGTCATTCTAATGAAGAAGATGACAACAAATTTGTATGCTTTTCTTTTGACTACTTCTTTTTACTTTTACGAAAAGTATTAAAACTTTCAGTAGCATAAAATGTTATTTAATTATTGTTTACCAGGAATAACAGAAGAAAAGTTGTAGGTTAAGATTTATGGCTTTCAACAAATGTAATTTACACAATTTACGTTAATCACAGAGATACCAGTTATAATGGGAGAAGAGAAGAGGAATGCTAAGCGGGGAAATACAGCAGCGTCTTGTTGCTCCTTTTTTTTTTCTTTTGCTTACTTCGCTTTGGTTGGGATTCGTTGCTCTATCGTGTAATGGAAGGATTGATTGAGCCTGTAACAAGCAACCAAACTGAAATTGGACAAGAAACTGAGAGAAAACGATGATAATGTTAAATTTTTTTTCGAAATTATTGTAACGAAAATGTAAAGAGAGAAACCATAGTTAAGAATGAATTTACAACTCTTCTGAAGCTGCAGCTTTTTTCTTTTATTTTTATTTTTTTTTTGACTTATCTTCTTTTTTGAGCGCGTTGAAAAATCTGATGATCTCTATTTTTGCTAGTGCTACCATTTTTTATTATTGTTTTTGCTGTTGTCCTAGTATCGGCAAGAATTTACTGTAGCAAATGCTGAGTTGAGTTTGTTTACTGCTCTTTTATGATAGGCATTGAAGGAGGGAGAAGAAAAAGGTAACTTGTCATTTTATTTTTAAAAAATTGTTTATATTGGAAATGGACTATTTTTAGCTAAGAAAAAAAGAAAATAATAGAAATTTTAAGTTTGACTACTATTTGCTCAAAAATCTAGTTTTTTAAGTGCATTCTTTGGTTGGTTCTTAGTATTAATGACTGTTAAAAACAATACCTTATTTTTCTTCACTTTATCTGTGCTTTCATCATACGTCTGCTTATAAAAATTTTTTGCTGATGAGTTTGGGAGGGATAGGATCGAGGATATAAAGTAAAATTTTGTTGTTGATAATCCGATGTTAATTTGTTGATTTCTAAACAGATACAGAGAGCAGTAATAAAAAACATAAACAGTGACAACAATATGGTGTTGTGTAGGTTTCAGCTTTCTTAAGGTGTTTTAATTAAAAGCTGCAAGAAGCGATAAATATGGTAATAAATATGGTTGAGCGAACAACGCATTGTGCAATTAAAACGCTTTAAGAGCGCATTGTCTATTTATGTTAGCATATTGTAATTAGAGACAACGGATCGCCAGGTGCTTGCAACGGTTATGATTGTGATGATCAGTGGAAACCATACTGTGCTGCTTTTTGCAGGGGGGCTTTTCTTGTTAAATTTTGTTTAGGTGATTAGTGGTGTTTGAAGAAAGGGTATAGTGATTTAGAAACACTTGAAGAAGCAAAGATTTTTTGTAACAATGTTTAGTTTTTTCTCTCCTGTCTTCATTGTCGTCTTGCTTGTTAGACTCAAAAAAGTACGGCTCTATTGCGAGGACAAACAGTCGTTGCTTTCAAGCTTTTCAATGCGATTTCCACGGGTCATCATTTGTTTACTTCACTCAATTGTGCTGCTTTAGACTCATTGTAGCAAGTTTTCTTGTTTTTTCATCATCATTTTGTTCTTTCGGATCTTAAGTTTATTGCCTTGAAGGATAGGTGAAGGAGGAAAATAGCAGAAAGACGAAGAGCAAATTTGATTTTGACGAACCATCACTTAGTTATTCGTCTTCCGTCGCTCTCATCGACATTACCATCACTACTTTTATCAGAGTGTTCTTGAATTTAACAGTCAAATTTTGAAGCAATTTTTCAATGACTTTTTTGTTTCACTTTTGTCATTCAATTTATTCTTGAGGACATTTCCAGACAATACAGAACTCGAAAAAGATTCTTCACGGATTTTTAATTGGTTCAGATTTCTGTGGAAAATTCGGAAAGAAGCAGCGTTTTTTTGGTTGTTTCCTTCTTCTTTTAATGCTTAATTGGATGCGTAGGTTTTATGGAAGAAGGGAAAAACGTTTAAGCGAATTTGCAGCACTGACAGTATCTAAATTTGTAGTTGCATATATTTTTGTATTGGTTTTATTATTATCTGCAGTCAGTAATAGGTTAGGAAGTATTTAGTCATGTTATATATATATATATATATATATATATATATAT